AAAAAATATGTTCTCCTTTCTCAAAGACAACTCATAATCTCTAACCTGGAGAAAAGAAATCTCAGATTGAAGGCATCAAAACAGTTTCGTTTTTTTCCTCCCTTCATTGTTTAATATTTCACTCAGTAGCTCTTGAGTTAGGGATCTGTGCTCAGAAAACATGCCTAGGGTGGTAGCAATGACCTGAGGGATTGGAACCCACATTGAGGTAAGGAAGGCCGACAAGGAAGAGGGAATAGTGTTCCAGAGGGGCCCATGTGAGGAAGATACAATGAATGAGGTAGCAGCCTGATGATATCAGGAGAGTGGTTTCATACAGGAGGACTAAGCAAATAGGTAAATCCATCAGGAGTAATAGGAGCCATGTTTCTCACTACCAGAAAAAAGAGTTATAAAAATGAAAACGCAGAAAGCTAAGACAAATGTTACAGTGTTGAGGTGAAATTAGAGTTACTGGTGTAAATTCATGGCTTTCAATATACAGAGACAGGAAAAGAAAAAAGTACGCATATAAAAGCTAAGAAGCATGGAACAACAAGTAACAGCAATCTATGGCTGGGAGAGGGTAAAGGTACAGAGAAAGAACCTCTCTGAGGTGCAAGCATATAGGAAATGACTGAAGTAGAGAGTAGAGCAAAATTAAGAAAAACTCTCTTGTAAACCAGGCCCCACTCTAATTAAAAGGTAGTACTAGAGGAATTTGAAGCCAGAGGTACACTAAAGGTATGTAATCCTAGCAATAAAAAAAAAAACCCTCAACCCCAACTCAACTCTTGACTAAATTAACTCAACCACTAACATGGTATCCCAGGCATAAATATTATTAACCTCAATCTTTACTGTCCTACACAACAATATCCAGAATATATTTTTTTAAATTATATAAGAAAAAAAAAATCCACTGTCCTGAGACAAAGCAATGAATAAAATCCCAGATTCAGAGAGGCTGAAACAATCAGACAGAATGTAAAATGACTATGATTAATATAAGGTCCCTGGTGGTGCAAACGATTGGTGCTAGACTGCTAACCTAAAGGCTGGCAGTCATAACCCACCCAGCGGCAACATGGAAGAAAAGACCTAGCGATCTGCTTCTTAACAATTACAGCCAAGAAAACCCTATGGAGCAGTTCTACTCTGTATCATATAGGGTTACCATGAGTCGAAATCAACTCAACCGTAACCAACAAAAACAATAATGATTAATATGCTGAAAGACCTAGTGAAAAATATGCATGAACGCATGGAGAATTTTAGCAGAGAAATGAAAAACCACAAATGTCAAGTGAAACGTTAGAGGGAAAAAAGGTAACAGAATTAAAGAATGCCTTCAACAGGCTCATAAACAGACTCAACAGAGCTGAGAAGGAAATCCCTGAATTTGAAGATAGGTCTATAAAAACTGCCCAATCTGAAACACAAGAAGAAAAAAAGTGAGGGTGTGGGGAGAAAGAACAGTGAATCCAAGAAGTATGTGGCAATATCAAACAGTCTAATATAGTGTAACTGGAATCCCAGAAGGAGAAGAGAAAGAAAGAGGGCAGAAAAAAATATTTTAAAACACAATGACCAAGAATTTTTTTTAAATTAAAAATATCAAACCACAGATCAAAGAAGCTCAGAGAACCCCAAGCAAGCTAAATATACCCTATCCCACCTCCCCAAAAAAGAAAAGTAAAACCATTTAAGATTCTTCATCCAAAACAAAACACAAAGAGATCATCTGACAGTCAGAAGGGAAAAAAGATTTATTATATATACAAGAACAAAGAACGCAGGCAGCTTTGAATCAACTATGCAAATCACAAATCAACACAGTGATATCTTTAAAGTGTTGAAAAACTGTCAGCCTAGATTTTTATACTCAAAAAAACGACCTTTCAAAAATGAAGAAAAAATACTTTCAGACTAACAGAAGCTGAGAAAATTCATTACCAATAGACCTGCATTATTTAAAAACTGTTAATGGAAGCTCTTCAGACACTATGAATATGATACCATAGAGAAACCCGGACCTACACAGAAATAAAGATGGACAAAATAGGTTAAGTTGAAGATAAGTTAAAAAAGCATGATTTTTCTTATTTCTAATAGCTCTAAATGATAGCTGACCATCTAAAGCAAAAACAGTAGCAGTGTATTGTGGGTGTATAGCATTTAAAAAATGTATAAAAACAATAGTCCAAAAGAAGAGAAAAAAAAGAATTGGAAGTACAATGTTGTAAGGTCCTTCCAATACACATCAAGTAGTATAATAATAAGAGTCCTGGTGGCACAATGGTTAAGTGTTTTGCTGCTAATTGAAAGGTTGGCTGTTCAAACCCACTTAGCAGCTCTGTGGGAGAAAGACCTGGAGATCTGCTTCCATAAAGATTACAGCCTAGAAAACCTTATGGGACAATTCTACTCTATCATATGGGATCACTACAAGTCAAAAATCAACTTGACGGCACCTAACAACAACTACAGCATAATACTGACTGAAGGCACACTGTGATTAATTAAAGATGTACGTTGTAAACAAAGGGCAACCACTAAAAAAAATTAAATTATAAATAAGGCAATAACCAGTTGTCACCGAGTTGATTCTGATTCATGGCAAACCTATGTGTGTCAGAGTAGAACTGTGCTCCATAAGATTGGCAATGGCTGATTTTTCACAAGTAGATCACCAGACCTTTCTTCCAGGGTGCCTCTGGGTGGACTCAAACCTCCAATCTTTCAGTTAACAGCTTGAGTACATTAGCCACTTGCAGCACTTAGGGAATCTAATCAAGTCAATAGTAGAGAGAAAACAGAATCACGCACACAAAAAAAATCCAAAACAGGCAGGAAAAAAGTAATAAGAACAGGTAAGACAAATAAAAAACAACTAAAAATGTAGTATACTTTAATACAACAATATCAATAATTAATCTGAATGTAAATGGTCTAAACACACAAATTAAAAACATTGTCAAAACTGTCTTCAGGAAACCCAACTTTAAATATAAAAACATATATAGGTTCAAAGATATACCATGTAAACACTACACAAAAGAAAGCCAGTGTTACTATATTAGTTTCAGACAAACTAGACTTAAAAACAGAGAAAATCACCATGGATAAAGAGAAAAAATAATGAATTTAATGATAAAAGGGTCAATTCACCAAGAAGACAGAACAATCCCCAAAATGTATGCACCTAAAACTAAAGCTTCAAAGTACATGAAATAAAAACTGATAGGACTGAAATGAGAAATAATAAACAAATACATAATTATAGTAGGCGTCTTCAACACTCCTCTCTCAGCACTGGCCAGAACAAGTAAACAGAAAATCAGTAAAGCCATAGAAGATGTGACTACTGATTGGCTTGACCTAATTGATATTTAAACCCGAACACAGCACAGAAAACATTCTTTTCAAGAGTACATTCTTTTTAAGATAGACCATATTCTGGCCCATGAAACAAACTTCAACAAATTTAAGAGATTTTTTTCCCCTATTTCCTACTCCTAACATAATCAAACTAGAAATCAATAATGGAAAGATATCTGGGAAATCCTCAAGTATTTGGAAATTAAACAACACACTTCTAAATATCCCAGTGATCAAAGAGGAAGAAGAAAAAGTAGAAAATATTCTGAATTAAAGGAAAATGAAAACACAACATAAAAAAATTTAAGGGATACAGCTAAAGCCAAGAGCTGAGAAATAAATTTATAGCATTAATGCTTATATTAGAAAATAAAGTGTCAAATTACCTAAACTCAAGAAATTAGGAAAAAAGTAAACTAAATCCAAACCAAGCAAGAGTGTAAATATTAGCAAATCAAATCCAGCAGTAAATATAAAGGAGAATATACCATGACGAAGCGGAGTTTCATTCTGTTATACATAATGTCACCATAAATCAGAGGCTACTTGGTAAATAACAATAAGTAGGGTTTACTCTGGAAAATGCAAGACTGGTTTGACATCCAAAAATCAACAAATATAATTCACCCTATCAGCAGGCTAAAGAATAAAAAGTGTATTACCAACTTATTAAATGCCATAGAAACATCTGACAGCATCACTATCCACTCATAAAAACTCTCAGTAAACTAGGAATAGAAGGGAATTTCTTCAAGATAACAAAAGAGTGTCTACAAAAAACCTACATCTAACATTATACTTAAATTTGTAAAGAGCTCTTAGAAATTACTTAGACCAATTATAAGTATATATGGGCAAAGAACATAAGCAGTTTATCAGAAAACAAAATAGAAATGATTTGTAACTTCTTCCTTCAGCTTCTCTCTCTCACTCTACAATCCGTCCCTTTACTCATCTGAGGAATGAAAAGGAATTTCTCACACCCACTTTCCCATCACCATAGGTCTCGAGTGTATCTGTTTATACTGCACCAATAATTCAGATTTTCTGTTTTGTTTTGTTTTTAATTTATAGCAATAAACTACATTTAATTTCTGAACAGGTAGTTTTAATAATTAACTTTTGGTCTTAAAGAATTGTATTAACTCTTCCTGATTGATTCCTTAATTTTGGTCTTACTAGTTTCTATTCCACTTTTGTTTGAACTATGCAATTAATCACAACAGCAAATCATAAATTTTTTAAAATAGGCAGAAATTTCTAATAAAGTTTCTGGAAGACAAAAATTATTTTGCAAAATATAAAAGAAATTATTACTTCATACTACAGTACAGCTCACAAATGTATATTAAGGAAACTAATGGTACACCCATTAACTAAATTCTGGAGAAGGATTCCACTGCAAAGGAGACAAGATGTATGTAAAGTTAGGATCTGTCATGAGTTTATGTTTTATTGAGATTCTCAAAATGAAAAAATCATTACTCCTACCTACATCCAGTTCTTTCAGCAATCTTTTAGGTTAGTTCAATATTAGTCAATTTAGAAAAACAATATGTTACTAGGGAAATCTTTCATTTTATTAAATTCCATTCATAACCCTCGCTCCTCAAAACAATGTGTTAACTGATTTTGCTTACCTCCTCTCCTGAAAGGTAATATGCTGCAAGTAGGCCTCCAATAAATCGAATATTGACTTCAAACACAGACACTTCTGAATTCTGTGAAAACATATTGGACATATTTCACATATGTGTATATTACTTTATAGTTTTCAAAATATTTTCAGTACTTCATTTGTTTTTTCTAAAAACCCTATGTAAAAGGGTTTTTCCACGTTCTTCACCCTTACTCTTCATCCAACTGCAATCTAACCAACCATTTGTTAACGTTACTGAAATTATTGTTGTCACCAAAGCTTCTCCCTCCATTTCTTGAAGTCTGAAATACCACTCTCTTTACTGGTTCCTTTCCTTCTGTTCTAATAACTACAATATAGTTTCAATTTTTACTTCTATCTCTCCTCATGAATTTAATTTTTTTTCAAGTATATATAATAAATTAATGTTAAAGGAGGTACCACAAAAAATGGCGGAATGATGGATTTTTCAGTTAATAATGTTAAGAAAACTGACTCCTAGGTAAGAAATTAAGGTGAACACTCATTTTACATACATAGCAAAATAAATTCCAGATGATTTAGAAATGCAAAAAAAAAACTACTATAGAAAAGTAGGCAAAAATATGACAATATTTAACTTCCTCAAAAAAGAAGTACATTGTGAGCATAAAATCAACAGCACTGATAACAAATGATATAAACATTTAAACTCCCCCAGAATGCAAATCATCTATAAGGAAAAAAAAAAAAAAAAAAGTACAGGCAAGGACACAAAATAAATGGAAATCACATACGTTGGTGGTGATTATAGCCACTATAAGTTTCTTAAAAAGTTAAACATACACATACCATATGACTCAGTAAATCGCAGGTGACATTTTCATGAAAAAAATATAAAATTCAGATAAGTAGGTATTCATGCTTAAAGTGCTGAGATACTGTAATCACTAACCATGAATTCTAAATGTTAATCCAAGTGAAAATACTCTTCAAAAATGAAGGCAAAATAGATATTTTCTGACCAAAAAAAAGAAAAATAAACTAAGAGAACTCATCACCAGCAGATAGGCACTAAAGGTAATATTTAATAGGAACTCTTCAGCCTGAAGTAAATGAGTCCATGGAAGCAATAAGATGAAGAAATAAAAATATACAAAAAAGGTAAATAAAAATGACTATGATAGTATAATACATCAATAATAATATCTTGTGGAGATTTAAAAATATGTGGAATTAAAATGACAACAAAAGAATAAAAGATGGAAAGAGCAGTCAATAAATTGGAGTTAAAGTGCCCTAGGTACTTAATATCGAGGAAATGATAAAAATGAGAATTTATATTAGACTTAATAATATGGTTTTCGCTTACTATGAATGAGTCTGCTATAATCATTCTTCTACTCCCTTCTACCCTGGTTGCAAACAGGTTTCCAACTTGTGAAAAGCAGCCAAAACCAAGCACAGATATAGGCTTATGTGCATACATTAGAAAATAAATCACATTTCCAGCTGAAGTATATATCTCAAGAAGCTAGAAAAAGAACTACAAATTAAATAATGAAAACATTAGAAGGATGGAAATAAAATAGACAACGGTTCAGTAGAATAATCAAAGACAAAAGGTGGTTTTCAAAAAAGTAAAAAATTTAATGATCATCTAGCAAATCTGAACAACAAAAAAGTAGGCTCAAATATTCAGTTATCAGAAATAAAATGAGGTATAATACAATAGGTTTCCTGGAATTAGAATGCAAGTAAGGGAACGATATAAATAATCTTATGCCAAAATTTTTTTAATTTAGATGACATAGACAAATTTCTAGAAAAACACAAATGTCCAAAAATAATTCAGGAATACAGAAAATCTAAGTAGTGCAATTATCTATTGAAGAAATAAAATACACAATTAAAATCCTTCCTACAAATAAAATTTTAGGCCTGGAAAGTTTAACCTATGAATTCTTTTTAACTTTTAATACCAATCTTATTACCTATCTTCTATAGAACAGAAAAAGAGGACACAATTCCCAAACTCATTTAATGACAGCATAACCATGATAGCAAAATCTGATGTTTAAAAAAAAAAAAATTACTTGTTGAAAAACATGATAAACATAATTACTGTAACTGAACTGTATATGCAAGATTGTTGACATGTCAAATGTTTTGTTACACTGTATTTACCACAATGAAAAAAAGAAAGAAAACTACTGCAATCACTCCCATGAACAAAGATGTAAAACTCACATACATAAAATATTAACGAATTGGACCCAAGGATAACATAATCAGGTTTATTCCAGGAATACAAGGTAGGTATTAACATTCAAATATCAATCAAAATAATTTAGCAAAGTAAAATATGTTGTTGCTGTTGTAATGTGCCACATATTCAATTCCGACTCATAGCGACCCTCCAGGACAGAACAGAACTGCCCCCATAGGATTTCCAAGGCTGTAATATTTACAGAGGCAGACTGCTATATCTTCCTAGTGGGTTCAAACCGCCAACCTTTTGGTTAGCAGCCAAGCGCATAACCACTGCGCCACCAGTGCTCCTTATATTAAAATATACACAGAATAATCTGCAGCCAAGCGTATAACCACTGTGCCACCAGTGCTCCTTAAATTAAAATATACATAGAATAATCAGAAGATTATTCAGTATTGTTAGAAGAAAGCATTTGCCAAAATTCAGCACCCATTCATCATGATTAAAAACACACTATGCTTAAAAAAAAAAAAAAAAAAGAGAGAGAGAGATTTTCCTTAATCTGATAAAAGGTATCTAACAAAATGTCTGTAAGACATATAACGGTGAAATACTGAAAGCACTCACTCTGAAATCACAAATGAGATACGGTATCTATGATCACCACTTCTATTCAACGTGGTACTAGAGACACTGGTCTTTGCAATAAAAAAACAAAAGGAAATATGACTTAGAAGGAACTAAAAGGAAGAAAAATAAAATTTTCATTATTTATAGAAAATCTGATTTGGTATGTAGAAAATTCAAAAAAATCTAAAGAGAAAGACAAGTATTATCAAGTGAACAATTTCACAGGATAAAAAGTCAATATGCAAAAAAAAAATTTCTATATATGGGCAAGAAATAAGACAATGATTTTTAATGATACAATTTATGCAGTCTCAAAAACAATCAAACCTTATAAACAACTCAGTTAAAAGATGTGTATGGTAGAGAAATTACAAAGTGTTAGTGACAGCAATTAATGAAGACTTAAAGAAGTGGTGGGCTACACCACGTTCATGAATTAGAATGCTCAGTACTGTAAAAACGCAAATTACTACCAAATTCATCTATGGATTCAATGCAACTGCAATCAAAATCCCTGTAGGTTTTTCTTCTCTCTCTACTTTTTGGTGGAAATTGACAGGGGTCAGCAACTTTTTCTGTTAAGGGCCAGATAGTAAACATTTTAGGCTTTGGAAGTCATGTATGATCTCTTCTTCTTCTGTTTAACAACTCTTTACAACAAAAACAAACAAACAAAAAAAAAAAGTTCTCAGCTCCTAAACCACACAAAAACAGAACACAGGCCAGATTTGGCCCGGAAACAGAGTTTGCTAATTCCTCCATGACCACCTTAAAATATTCAAATTTTAAGGATGTTCAGAACAAGATATCAAGAATTACTATAATTGAAGTATTTAAAACACTGTGGTACTGGTACAATGACATGGGTCAGAATACAGTCTAGAAATAGACTCACATATAGAATCATCAGATTTAAAATAAAGTTATTGCACTGCAGTTTTTAAAAAGGAAAAGAATGACTACTTTAAATAAATGTTAAGTGGTGAACTAATAATACATATAAAACAATTTTTGACCCCTATCCTCACACCAGGAGACCTGGTGGCACAGTGGTTAAGAGCTATGGCTGCTAAACAAAAGGTCGGCAGTTCAAGTCCATTAGCCACTCCTTGGAAACTCTATGGGGCAGTTCTACTCTGTCCTATGGGGTCTCTATGAGTCAGAATCTACTTGACGACAATGGGTATGGAACAGAACCCTCACACCACATCCCAAAATCAAATCCAAATGAAATGTAGTCCTATTGAGAAATGTAAAATAAATCTTGCAGTAGGTAATAAAACAATCTTCTTAACCTTGAGGTAGGGAAAGATTTCTTAAGGCAAGGAATGGAATGAGAAAAATCTCTCTCTAATTCAAAAGAAGGCAATGAAGAACAGGAAAAGAAACATCAATCAGAAATCACCAAATAAGATGGAAACAAGAGAAAAGGCTCAAGCCTGTTGAGCATGGCCTAATGGAAATATGGAATATAATTAAGCAAACTAACGCATCATGGGAATCGCAGAAGGAAATGATAGAGAGAAAGGAAAAGAAAGAATATTTGAAGAAATAATGGCAGACAAGTTCCCAAATGAATCTATAAATCCAAGAAGCAAAATGAACTCTAAGCAGAATAAACCCAAAGAGATCCACACTGAGACAGTTTAGAATCAAGCTCTCAAATACTAAAGTTAAAGAGAGAATGCTGAGAGCACCGAGAGAAGCTAATACTCTCAAAGAAAGGATTCCCAATCAGTTTACATGCTGATTTCTCCTCAGAAAACATGGAGGCCAGAAGGCAATGGAACAACATCTTTAAAGGGCTGAAAGAAAAGAACTGTCAACAAATACTACTATATCCAGCAAAACTGGTAGTTCAAGAATTAGGGCAAAATTAAGACATTTTTAGATAAAAGCTGAAAGAATCTGTAACCACTACAAATGCCCAAAAAGAAATGCTAAAGAGAGTCCTCCAGATGGAAAAGAAAGGACACTAGACAGTAACTCAAAGCCTCACATAAGGGGGAAAAAAAAAAAAACTCCATTAAGGGTAATTGCACAGGCAAGTATAAGGGCAAATTTTAAGGTATTTTTGCTTGGTAATTCTAGCTGTCAAGTCTTTCATGCAAATATAAACTTATGCTACAGGGCATGTGATATACGAAGATATAGTAGGTAATAAAAACAACACAAATGGGGGAGGAAGAGCAGTATAGAAATAGAGTTTCTATGTTACTAATGCTAAGCTGGTATCAATATAAACAAGGTTAGTATAA